CCTCCTCCACCAGGGTGCTGACGCCGAACTCTTGGTCCATCTCCTCCAGCAGCTTGGCCTACGTGCGGCACGGGCCAGGGGAGACCTTGATTTCTGTTCGGCCACGCCGTGACCCGCAGCTCTGCGCTCCTCGTTAAGGTCAGCCGTGGAGCCCAGCCCTGCAAGCTGCCTTTCAAAGCGACCGCAAGCAGAGAGCACGGTCGCCCCGAGAAGAGTGTGCAGCACCAGGTATGACGGGGAACGCCCAGGGGCCAAGGACTGACGCGTGATGAGGGGCCCAGAGCTGATCGGGGAAGCCTTGCTGACACTGAAACCCTGGCTGTGGCCAGTCTAGGGCTTGATCCGAAAGACAACACGAGTCATCGGGCAGAGAAGGGCCTGGACTGCAGGGTGGACTCCCAGCCCCAGGGCTACAGGTGACCACGCGCTCCCTAGCTGCGCCCTCCCCTTCCCACTGCCCCTTTCCTCTCATAACTGACGCTGCATGATCACCGACAGGCCAGGGTCGCGCTCCCATGATCTTGACCAGTGTGGTGCTGCTGGCACAACTACTCAGGCCTTGCAGCTTGACCATGCGGGACTTCACCCCGTGTGGACAGATGGGCAGGCCGCTGATCATCGCCTCCTACCTGTGCCTCACCCCCAGGGCGAGCCCCTGCGCCGCAGCCCCCGGCGACCACCCCAGCGGCCCAGGTCCTCACCCTCTTCTCTGCCAAGTCCTTCTCCTTCTGAAGCTGCCGGCTCCTCTCAATCCAGGCTGCGGTGTCGTCCAGCCAGGGGTCATCCTCCCCCAGAGTCTTTATCTTCCTGAAAAGCAGCAATGACCTCAGGGGAGGCCAGCTACCAGCCCCGCCACACCTGCATCCTAGAGCTCCTTGGCAGCCTTCTGCCCCCCGGCCGGCCCCTCACCCCAGCTTCTGATTCAGCAGGCGCTTCTCTTTGGCGGCCGCCAGCTTCTCTCGCAGCTCTTCTCGCTGTCGCATGGCCATGGGGTTGATGACATCGGCAGTCACGGGCTCCTCCTTGGTGCCCGCCTCTGGAAGGGGGGCCCAGACGTGAGGCTATGCCTGCCCATGGCTGGGGGGAGAGGAGGGAGCCACTCACCCTGCCCCCTTCCAGCGCAGGGGGCCAGAAGGGGCCAGGATGGGGCGAGGACGCCTGCACCTCCCTAGTCGCATTCTACCCCCATACCCGTGTCACCCCCATACTCATGTCACCCCCATAGCAGCACGGGCCCTCCATACCTTCCCGGGCCCCACAACTCACACCTGCCCAGCCCACCCTGTCTCACGCAGCCTTGCAGAGAAAGGCACGGGGCCCACAAGGCGCCAGCAAGGAGGGCAGCGCGCAGGCGACTGACCGGTGCGCAGCTCGGTGCAAACGCCACTTCTCTCCTCCACCCAAATGCCCTCTCACCCGCCCCTCCGCCTCACACTTACCCTTCTTAACGGCATTGACCTCCAAAGGTTTCAGCCCCAACTTCGCGCGGAGTTTACTAAGGACAAGAGATACATGTTAGGGGCTGTCAGAAACCGGCGTCAGCATTTCTGCAGACGGGGTGAAAACAAGAGTGGGGTGAATGGTCTAACCCCCAACGCGGGGCCGGCCTTGGCAGGTTAGGGCGCCGGAGCCCTCCGCAGGGAGGACGCGCACCAGGCCCGGCCCCCGGCCGGAGGTCACCAGCCTTCCTCTTGGGCCTCGGCACAGCTGCACTTCCAACTCCACCAGCTCCCTGCCGGGGGCAAGCGCCTCTCCCTGCAGCTGCCCTGAGCTACCCGCCTGGGAGAAAGGGTAGAAACACAAAGGACGCAACTTACTTGGTCTCCTCGATGCTGAGGGACGAGGCATCTCCTGAGCTAGTTTTGGAACCGGCAGCTGGAACGAGAGACGGGGCTCAGGAGCCGAACGCGGGGCCCAGGAGCCAGCCTGAGCTCCGAGCAAGGCCCCTGCAGCAGGGGCCCAGGATGCAGGAAACAGCCGCTTTCCTCACCCAAGTCAGGACTCTGAAAAGCAAACCTTGTCCGCGTCCCTTCCTTTCTTGACCCAAAGGGCCCAACTTTCCGCACCCCTCACTCTCACACTGGCTCCTCCCTCACCACGCAGACCCACAAGCTCCTGCCTGAGTGCAGGACTCAAACGCCTCCCCCTTCAAGGACCTTCCTGTTCGACCACCGACTGCTGTGCCCTGTGCACAGTGCGTCCTCTCTGGGCCGCGCCTGCAGCCAGACTGTTAGCAGTGCGACGGCATCCTCCGTACAGCTCCCTGGACCCCACAAACAGACATGGGGCACCATCAGAAGGTGAGCCCATGCCAGCTGCCACCACACGCCACCTTCCTGCACCCCCGCCCACAGGCTCCCCTTATCCCACCAGGACCAGGCCCCAGCCCTCTGGGCTCTCCAGGTCCTCAGTGCCTCATGTCCGCATGGGTACTCGCCACTGACTCCGCCTGACGAAGTCCACACCTGTCTTCTCACAAAGCTCTGCCCACAGATGCCAGGATGCAAGAGTCCAGCTTTCCTGCCTTTTTGGCTACTCTACCTCCTCGCCTGTGGCACCAAGCTCTGCCTGTCATTGACACACTGGCATTTCTCGGGTTCTACTTCCTAGCCACATCTCCAGCTTCGCGCTCTCACTCGCTCTGGCACCTTCAGCTGCCCCGAGTATTCCTAACTCCCACACTGCTCTGCAGGGCCTCGATGCTGGGCTTCTCCACACTCCAGCGCAGCTCTCCCCTAACAGAACGTCTTATCTTCCCCCCCCCAAAACCAGCTTCTCTTTTAAACACCTTCAGTGGACACCACCGCTGCTCAGCCCAGCTAATTACTCAAGTCAAAATTCAAGGCGGCATCCTCCACACGCCCTCCTCCCCACCCTTGTCCAAGGCTAAACTGTTAATTCCTCCTCCTAACACCCCATCCCCTCACCTCTCTATCCCACCCCGCTGCCTCCCGTAGGCCCCAGCAGCCTGGCTTCCAGGGTGACTTCCGTTGGCCCACCTCTCAAAGCACGACCTTTGCAAAATGCGTGTGATCTACTCAGACCCATGACACTGTACAGCTCTCTAAGCAAAGTTCCAATGTCTTAACTGGGTCTCTGGGGTCCTTCTCGGCCCCCCCTGCCTACCTGACAGTGTCGTAGGTCTCTAGGATGAGCCCGACGGGGCCCGCCCCACACCAGCTCTCTCTCACTCTGCAAACGCTGGGCCCACTTCATTCATTCACTGCTCACAGCCTGTGAGGGCCTGGGCCTGGGATGTGCCCAGTAAACAACACAGATCACGCCTGTTCTCAGGGAGGTCAGTGGGAAGAGAGCCTGGAACCCCCCGTGGCTGCAGCAAGACACTTTACGAAAAGCGTGGGGTGCTGGGGCCCGCGGGCTCGGCCTCCACGCCCGGGGCCAGCTCACCCGCCTCGTAGCCGTCATCGCGCTTCTCCCGCTTGACGCGCCGCTCCGAGGGCTCCGCCTGGCTGCGCTCCCGCCCGTGCGCGCC